GGCCGACCGCCCCGCAAAAGGGAGGGGGCTCCTGTAACTCCTTCCGCCCGCCCGGGGGGCGATGCCCGTCTCTGCTGGCGAGGGGCGTCCCTGCTTCGAAAGGGAGCGGGCACCGCCTGGCAGGCCCCTGGACGGGCTTCCCGCTTCGGGCCCCGCGGCGCAAGGCGAGCCCTTGGGCGGTCGTCGGGAAGCCAGCTAGAAGGACCGCTTGCCGCCTCGCCTTCTTTTGACCTGCCGCCTTTTCTGCAAGTACAACAATAAAAAAAGTCTGGCGAAAGAAGGCTTTCCTTGCAGTTATTCTCCGCACCTTGAGGACTAGCGAGTTCTTTAACACGGAGCTTTACTTGTACAAAGCAAAACGTCAAAGGCTTTCTGATTAACTGCTGTCAGTCCCGTGATTTACAAGGGCAATAACGATCTGGAGGGGGCGCATTTATCACAGGGTTGAGCGCACCAGGAGCCACTTTCTCCCGCGGTAAAGCCGAGGGATAAAATGAGTTCTTTCCGCCTGTAACCTCCTTGAGGGGGGGGGGGGTCGCTCCCTCGGCCCGGGAAGACGGATGGCTGGTCGTGCGTCGGGAGCAGCAGATGCCTTGAGTGAAACAAATATACCTCCTCCTTTCTATTAGTTGCCGGCGTTATTTATTCCCCTCTCTTAATTTTTATTTTATCTGCATGACACCTTTGAGATTGGGTAGGAGAAACTCTCCTATCTTTCCTTCCTAGGAAAACTCGGATAATGCTGATTTAGGAGAACATAAAATCCACACGTTTGTTTATACCAAAGGAGCGTTCTTCCCATTCGCAATGTCGTGTTGGGAAGCAGAACTCAGTTGTTCGACATTCTGACCCTCCCTCTTGGATAGGCAATCATAGCTTTCGTTTATAACAAAGAGGCAGCACACTTTGGCTTTGCCCCCTGAAGAATTATACTCGTGGCACTACCAATTAATTGATAGTTAAATTAGTTGAGATGTAAGTTAATTGGGTCATGGAACCAGCTTTTGAAATATATGTGTATATTTTCTTTAAAACAGAACTGCGTACCTACCTGATTATTAAAAAGGAAAAAAATGTCAAAAGCTATTCAACGTGACCTCCATATTTCTCATTAGAGTACATCACAATGAATGCCTAGTTTTCTGTGTGTTTTTAAAATATCCAACTTAAAGGAAATATTTTGAAGTAGGCATGAGTTGGCATTGCGTTCTCAAAGACAGTCGCTAACATGTCTTCAAAAATCAAAGGAGCAAAAAAGCAGTTTGAACAGTTAACCAGCATCACGTAAATTCAACTGTGCGGTCCTTATTTTCCAAATATCAGAACTGAGAAGATGCAATGGCAAACGTTTTGCTTCGACTGAGAGGGGAAACCAGAGGAGAGAGCAGCCAATTCTTGCCTTTGGAAATCGTGCGGCTTCCAAAAACCTCTGCTCTGTGGGTCCCCTGAGCGTGAAGCCAGCCCTGGGTTTCCCAGCAAGAGTCGCCCCCGGCGCCCGTACGCTGCCTTCCGTGGCCAAGCCCAGGCGGCCTGAGTGGCGCGAGAGCTTCCCTGCGGAGCAGCCCGTGGAGATGAGTAGCGTCGGCTTGTGGCGAAGGCCTCGGAGGGCCACGGCGTGCCAGAGGGGCCGCAGCAGCAGGATGCTTTTGGTCCTGCTGGCTGTGAGTTACGGGTCTGAAGCCAACACATCTGGGGAGCACCTGGTTGGGGAAGTCGTCCCAGGCGGAGGCAGTTACAAGGGCAAGCCTGGGAAGGTCTTCCAAGCAGCCGAGGCCCCGCATGGAACGCAGACGCCTTCGCCGGTCTGCCCTGGGTAGCGTCCAAGGCGGGGAGGTTCTTCAGACCTGCTTGCCTAATTTTATGGCGGTACTTAAATCTGAGCCAGGGAGAGTTTGGCCAGGAGGCCGGCCCCTCTTTATACAGCTGCAAAGGGAATTGTGTGTTATTCCTTATACTTACCATATTGTTAAATCTTCTGTCTCTGATAGCTTAAGATAAAAGTTATAACTTCTCTGTACTCTAGGGCATCTTTTATATGCCAGTTTCTAAAGACCTAAAAACCTGTGACCTTCTGCAGCAGTTGAGGGTCACTTTTCATAAAAAAGTGTGCTTTTAAGTTGGATCATGTGAAGGCCATCTGTTAACCAAACCCGAAATGAATAAACCAGCTTGCAGTTGTGTTTCCCATTAGTCATGTATGTGAAACTGTACCGAAGGAACCAGAAGAACTCCAAACAAGAATTGGAAAAACAGATGTTTCCCTCCACCATTTTTATCTTGTTTTCTTTTACAAGAATGAAAAATTATGAAGAGAAGAGAAAATACCAAAAGGCTACTTTTGCTAAC